GATATATTTAATCTCTTGTCACCCAACTTCACATTCAAAGACGTTACCCCCACTTTACATCTCAACATGGTACACACGATGTCGAGTTACCTGGAACAATGGCTACATTGCAACTTGATCGATAGAATCCGATCAGCATTAAGATGGACCTGAAAAACATGACATTGGTCACTTCTCAGTGAATAATTACTTGTAAATTCAGACAGACTTTCAGATTAAACTGTACAGATTATACTCAAGATTGACCATGTACAATAATTATGACATGAATAAAAGTTGTTTTGAATGATTTAAGTCAAGTTCCTTTCTAAATAAATTGTTTCGTGATTACGCTAATCCGTATCGAAATAAAATTCATTTTTACCTTGAAATATTCGAAATGGATGCATCAGAAAAATTCTCATCGTTTTCAAACCACGAAGTTCCATGAACAAAGTATAGAAGTAACGTAAGGAATCAAACTAAGTTATTTGAAAATGTATGTTTCCATAGTTTATATCACAAATTGACCTTAGTCACAATACCACGACAAACCAGGAAGCACCAAACATCTGTCCCATTCTATTATCAGTATTCACATTCATTCATATCACAGACTTGATATGAATATTGATTATATTGTAATAGTATTCAGTAAAGACTAAGCATTAGTCTTTTAAAATTTATCTCAAAACTGTATCTTTATCTTGTTGTTTCCACTAACATTAGTAATCAACACACTACTTCATACTCCAGGGAAACTGTCCACTTAAACTATGACAGTTAAATTTCGCTCACTGATCTACACTTATTTAACACTGTAGAATCTCATATAGGATGAAATACAAGTTCTACGTCCTACTGTAGTTAACAAGAACGTGAGTAGGGACAATTGAATGTATTTGACAGAGCATCTCATCAAAATCTGAGGACCATATAGTAAATGTTTAAATTGCAAAATATCAATCCATCATCTCAAACTTGACTGTTCCTTTTGAAAATATCAGTCCATTGTCTCATATTTCATTGTTCATGCATTTTCATACCAATTGCGTTCCGTTTCTGTCCTTTACTTCTCGATCTTCTACTGTAATACATTCTATGCCTGGCCATCGTTATATACTACTTATATGTATATAAGTAACTCACACCACACTATAACTAAATAACGCTAATTAATATTAAACACCAATTTTATCTTTATCAGTACTAGAATAGACGAATCAGTACAAAATTCTAATTGCAAACAACATATATTAATGGAAGTGATGTGAAAATAAATTTCCTATGGGAAAAATAACAGATGATCTTATTTTATAAAATTAAATTTATATGAAGTGGATACAAAGTTGTATATTTTGACACTTTGAAATTTATTTACACTAATCAACTAATTAAGTATAAATGTGATGAATAATAAATTTTTTTTTCTTACAAGATTTATAATTACAAAGTACAAAGTGTGTATACTGGCTATAATCGTATTGTTTATCAAAAGTAATGTTGTTTACGTTATAACAATAAAAAAAGGAAATATATATGTAACAAAAAAAAAACACAACAACAACCAATAAATCGTACGTTAATTCTATTTATATTCTGAAAACCAGATGATGTTTACAATTCTAACCATTATTATTAAACTAAATGAACACTCCAACATTAAAGATATATAAATATATATATATATATATATATATATATATATATATATATATATAACTTAGAAAAATTTAAGTGAAAATTAATTTTCAAATATTTAAATCAAGGATTTTTGATAGATCTTTATGATGCCCAGACATAAACCTCTAATAAAGATAACTTATAAACAATGATAATATTTTTGAGTAGTTGTCAGATAGTAAGTGTGTATGTTATGTTGGATAGTGGCCTTGACAACTGATCTTATCCGATAGCATTTTCCCTGTTGTGTTAAATGTGTTTTAGAAATTTTACTCAAGTAATTGTTATATCAAATGATTAATGGTGACTTTGAGACTGATGAGAAAAAACAGAATGGTGAAAAGTCTATGGTTTAACGTACGTTCATTCATTATTATAACCATCTAAATGACAGCCTGAAGATAATGGTACTGAGTGGCTTGAAAACGAAAAGATTTAATGTAGTATGTAAAGAAAGGTGATAATAATGGACAGTCGTTTTGCGACTTGAATTTAAAATATGCTTAAACACTAGACCGCTGAGCCGGCATCCAATGGTCTTAATGTCTAACTTCAACCAATCCACGTAATTGAGTGACACATCCACCATTGTCTTCAGTGAGTTATTAACTCACAGCAGACCCGGTTAAACTCCACTGATCACTGTTTCTCATTAGAACTCTAAGAATTACCTCTTGAATCCAGTCACTAGTGAGCATATGTTGATTCATATCAGAAGGGGTTTTTGTGGATATTGTTGTAATTTCAATGGTTGAGATCATGAGTAAATTGGAGAATAATATGAATTTATTGTATTTCCGGGATTCCGATAAGCTGCAAATGGCCTAAATTTATACTTGTAGTGTGGTATATACTACTGACTATAACTATCATGTAGCACCAATAGGAAATGGAATGCCTGCGAGCAGAAGATTGAAATGAAAAAAGAAAAGAAAGAAAGTGTGCAAATGATTTATTTAATGTATGGTTTTCATATTTTACTAATACACTACAATTTTGCAATAGACATTGAAATGCCTTCCCTCACTTGAGTTTTCATTTCACTATTATTGATAAAAAAACAGCTATCATTTGACTGATTTTTTTCGAATACTTCGTAATGAAAATCACCTTCAAAGTACACGTTTGTAATTATGATGGGAAAACACTAACTTAATCTCAATTTGAATGCAGTATTTGTATAAAATATAATGTAGGAGAATAACAGAATCAGATCACGACGAGTATCCACTATAATTTTTCCTTATGGAAGATAACTCTTTGAATATACATAATTTGACTCAAAAAGAAATTTCACTGTACTATCATTCTTAATATTCAGCGTATGACTGATACCATCCAAATATTATCTTGTCATGATCACTACCATTGAATTGGGCTACTGTTTTTGTTTTTCTTTTCATTTGAAATAGAAAAGAAAGTATTAGCGCTTTTGCACATATAGACATTTATTTTATTCCTGATATAAACATTAACATTGGAATGGAGGTACATTCAGTTGACGAAAATGAAACACAAGTCCTCGATCTCATTACCAGATATAATTAATCTATTTCATAAATAAATTTGGTTGGTTGCGAAGATTAGTTTGAGATAAAACCCCGAAGTTCTAATGAAAAGTTCTGACTGGTGGAGTTCAAACCTCTTATATTTTATTAACTTTTTGTACAAAGACTATGCTACATTGAGTAGCACATTGTATGCTACCCGTACGATTAAAGTTGTACTCTTCAGTTTAACTGTGCCTGTCGACACGAGTTGGAGTTCTGGGAATGAAATGGTCAGTAATGTTTTACTAGAAAAAAGTCATCCAATTTGTATATTTCTAATCGTATATCTCATGGCAGAATAGTAGCAAGTAAATTAGGATTCATGCCGAATATCTCATACTAACATTTATGCTATAAAACGAAAAAGCTGAAAAACCCACAATGTTTGCATTACTTTCATGAACAAACATAGACAGATATTTATTATTCCCATAAAGACGCACCGGTATTATTAACATTCAACACGTAGAAAATAGATCGTTGAATTTTTCCAAGTAAGCATCTCATGTAAAACGTATGTACTGAATTATTTTATACTGAACATTCCCTATTGTATTTAAACACAGTATTAAAGAACTCACTACTATTACCACTGCTACTATTAATAATAGTTATTTTTAAGTAAAGTAGTGTAAGCTGGTGAAACGCCCGAAATTATAATAGAATAACTGTCCAGTACCCCCTTGTTTTCAATGATTCTTCAACTGATATCAGGTTCCAATGGATATCAAATTCCAAATTAAGGTTTAAATTCACTTATATCTTCCCATTGTTATTTAGGACTGCGATTGATTAGTCTCATATTGGCATATGTGCATCCTGTGAGGGTTGCCTCGATATAGCCTTAAGTAACAAGCCTTTTAAGCAAAGATGGATAGTGGCTAGCAGCGGAATCCAGTACGCGCGTTTCTTCCTATTTGGAACTCGTCAGCTGGATGTGCCCGCATCCCAGAATTGATGTTCACTCAGGGACTCGAACACAGTACCATTCGCTTCAAACGCCATAGCGTTATCCACTTACCTACTGAGTACTGATAGCTTGTGCAATGGGGTGAAGTTTAAATTCACTTGGTTTTGTTTTACTTGTATCTACCGATTGTTATTTAGGACATCCAGCTGACGAGTCTCAAACAGGAAGAAACGCGCGTCCTGGATTCCAGTGCTAGCCACTATCCATCTTTGTTTCAAATTAAGGTTTGTTATAAAATCGAGATCAAGAAACGAATAGGTTTCATGGTTCGTTTCTTAATGTTTTTTATTCAGAACTTTTTAAAATAAAACGAATTTTCTGATATAAATCACAAACAATAAATTTAAATAACAAATAATATAAAATAACAAACAGAAAAGATGGTGTATGAGTTTATTTGTTTAAAAAACTTTTTAATCAATATTTCTTAATGTCTTTATTGTGAATGGTTCAATAATTAAATTGTAACTGGGACAATGATTAGTTTACTAAGTAAACTATAAATTTGTATGATATAAAATACTAGAAAATAAAAATTGTTCGATCATTGAAAAGTCAATAATAACGATACTGCTGCTCTTGCATCTGCTTTTGATGACGATTATAACCTCGTAAACAACAGAGAAAAGTTAATGATGATGACAACGGTTATCAAAATTATGTAAATACAGTTTTTAAATTTATTGTAACCACTAACAAAATGAAGTGATTGCATGGAAACATTTGAGATTATTTAGTAACATTATGTTTTTTAAAAATAATTGATTTTTTTGTTGTTTATTAGTTTTTCATTATTTTGTAAATAATGGTAAAAATAATTAAAGACATGTTGTTTCTACTAACATTCTGGTGACCATGTATGGATCACAATTGGATGACGGACGTCTATCTTCCAAATAACCACAACCATTTTCAGCAACTTGTCTTGGAATACGTATACTACTACCTCTATTTGCAACACCTATATAAGACGAAATAGGAAAGAGTAGAAGAAAGATTTTTATAATTATGTGAACAGGAAACTCATAAGAAATGAAGTTGAAATAAAGTAGTGTATGAAAAACGTTAGTGAGCCATGGTCTTTAGGTTATGAACAATTATTACTCCTAGATTATAACGAAATAGGACTAAAGTCATTTACGTCTCCCCTTCCGTATATTAGGGGGGTTGCAAGTCTGCTTAGTAGGCCATAGCAACATTGAACTCAAATATTATGAAAGCGTAGCCATTTAATTTAACTAGCACTGTCTACGTTAGCGAAAACTAGGCCCAGGACAAAATGAGAGTGTTGTATTTCATATCCAATGGGTTCTATAGTGCACTGGACTAAAGTTAATGAGTATATAGTTTCCAGTAACTTGTAATCAAACGAGTTTGCTAATAATTCCGTCTTTAATTCAGCCCAATTAATAGAAAAAGTGAAGTAAAGTCAACCGCTATAAGGTTTCTGTACTTCTTTGACTAGAAATACAGTTTATAAGGTGAAAATCATCTGCTCTGGATTGAGGGCTATGATACACAAAACTAGTTTGATATACTGTCCTCTACATTTTAGTCGGGACCGCATTAATTCGCACGTGTTTAAATTGTATGTCGCGGTCTCGGCAACTCGAATACTTAAAGCGTTCTTCAAACACAGGATAACACCATCTATGACTTAGACTGTTGGTTCTACAAAATAAAAAACTAAACGACTGAATTTCGCGATCACTTACTTTTGACACTAGCTAAATATATGAAATGAAAAAGATATCAAAATTTTATGTTTCGATTGTTTGTGAGCTCTGCCATTTCATTCAGTAGTCTGGGAGTGTTTGATTAACAAACCATTATTTCTGTGGAGTATTCCAGTACCACTCAGAGTGGGTTGAGGATCAGTTTGCTCCCGACTTTGACAATTCAAAGACTCTTTAGTATAAGATTTTCATCATCACTTTGACGATATCCATTTATTTCTATTCCTGCAGATCGTCTTTTATTGAGATAAACCAGCGTGAAGTCGGAGTGTACCTAAAGTTTAGATAAACGCAGTTTGTGGGAGCTTCTTTAATAGATTTTACTCCTCAGTGGATGCCAAAGGAATTTTAAAAAGGCGACTTGCCTGAAGACTTTTTGAATACAATTTCTAGTTTACTTTGAGTAGTTTGTGTATACTAACTCCGATTACTGTATTTGGAATTAGCTTGGATATCAGATATTTATTGTAGTTCAGGTTGCGTTTAAACCTAGTCTTTGGATCTTTTTCGGGATTCTTTCAGCTTATGCAAGATGACTGATCCCTTTAAGAAATATGATTTAGTACTGAGAACTGGGATTTCTTAGCTCAAATCTTTTTTTCTTTTGCAAACTGGTTTGGTGATAGATCACTGGACTTCATCTTTGCTTCTCCTAGTTGCTTTACCGGACGTTGCTTTTAACCAATAATTGACCTTACCATGTTTATTTAAAGGGTCTTCTGAGTTGTACAGGCTATGCTATTGCATGGTTTTCACTGCATTGCTTTTTGGAACTTCTTGTATTACACCCTTTCTTCTCTGAGTGTTCGATATTTTTCCTAAAAGCCTTCCGTAAATTGGTAGATTAATCGTTCTCTATGTTCTAGAAGTGTTCTACTATGGTTCTATCTGTATCTGAAGCTGGATTGATAGTGATGCTCAATTCATTTTCCAGATCGATCAGTTATTCCATATTTTCTGTAGCTTACTAGTCATCTGTGAGAAGTTTCCTAGCTAGATTCATAAGCTCCATTACTTCAAGTATCAACAGAAACGTTATAGGACAGTATATTCTGTACAGTCAATGTGGTTGTGACTTGCAACACTTCTTATACAAGTTCAGGGGAAATCTAGTGCAAGCATGAGGATACCACTTGTTACAGTTCTCATATTGCATCTCATACTCAACAAAACGAGGCATCTTCGTCTACCACAACAAAGTCTAGTCTGGACTGTTGTGTTAAGGAAGTGGACAATGACAGAAAAAAATATTGGCAAAACCCAAAAAAATAAGTACTGAATGTCAAAAAAAAAATCTATCGCGTGAGAAAACAATTACACAAGTGAACCGTCTAGTCCATGAAGTGCAAATTAGTGCACTCACAAAAGTACGTCCCATTGTTGTCGTTACCTTGGCCTTTATTATTATTATTATTATTATTATTATTATTATTATTATTATTACTGCATTTCCCCCTTTACATGTCTCATATTTTCATCATTTTATTCATAAATGCTGATCATACCACATTATTTTTTACACATTTATGACCTTAAATTATTGTAACAAAAGCATTTTAATCATCTTAATACATTCACGTTATAATTCGTCACTAACTTATTAAGTCTCTCGTTATTATTCGTATTACGTAATCTAGTATTATAATCTTTCTATTACGTCATCTCGGTTATTCGTGTTCACAATTCCTCACGGAAATGGTACTTTAACAAAAAAGTCTTATATATATATATATATATATATATATATATATATATATATATATATATATATATATATATGATTGTACAGCTTGATAATAAATTCGTTGAAAAGAGATCCCCTAGCTGAACTTCGTGTTTTCAATAGATTTCGTCTGTATATTGTAAACTTTAAATACTATGTACATGTTAATATCATCGGTTACTTGAAAGAGTTGTAGAACATTAAGAAAAAATCTCTTTGGAGATACTAACTTACCAGATGAAAAATCATTAATACTGCTTGTTTCATGACTACCAGTCAAACGTCTTTGATTGTCTAAACCATGTTTAGGATCATAGCATTGAATGTGTTCCATGTGCTTATGTGATAGTTTTTCAATAGCATCTTCTATTGCTCTAAATAAAACAATATTAGTAATAATACCAGTGTGATTTTCTTATAACAACTTATTCATTTCTATTCATTGTAATTTTTTAATGTTTATAGTAATGAAATGTGAAATTTTTAGACATTCTGATACTTTTTCGTGAAAACGTATGGCGTAGAGAAAGTTATGGTGTGAAAAACATTATCTATGTTATAGGTATCATTACGAAGGTTTGACTTGATAATTTCGAATAAATTGAGCGTTGGGTAGATTGTTATATATAAATTAATATATTTGTAATATCCCAAAGAGTAGAAAAACTAAATTTTCTGACGTTTCGTGACTTGGATTAGTTGTGATTTGGTTATTTATTCTCTGAAGAAGTGGCTTACACTGAGTCACGAAACTTCAGAAAATCTAATTTTTCTACTCATTAGGATATTACAAATATATTAATTTATTTATGATCTATGTTAATTACTAGTAAGTCTACTCATTTCAGGGATCTAGAATCAATAATGCTAGATGAAACAAACACGATACGTATTTCTTGTTTGCCGAATATAACGCTCTCATTCTAACTGTAATCAAACCAATATGTTTTTCTTTAAATTCTATATTTCTGAAGTTAATCAATGAGTGAACCGTTTGGTGTGTACTTTGTTCACTGTGTGAAACATATTTTGGTTAGACCAAAAAAAAAAACATTTTGATAGACGGTTTGTATTTAGTGATAACTAATTTTAACTGTCAAAAGCTAGAGAGTACTGAAGTGATAATATTTTCATCTAAGTCCTACTTTCGACGTCGTATATCATCAATTTCATAAGACTATTGAGGTGATTAGTGACTTGTTAACAGATGGATTTAATATAATTTGTTTAGAAGCACTGTGAGTTGCGACTAACTAGTAGAACAAGACAACAAGTAAATTACGTTATTCATTGACTGGAGCTGAAAACTATGAATTCACCGACTAAATGGTACTGTAGACCACGTGGTATGATGTTTTAGCTAAGGACCTGTATAAAATGAAGTAATTGGAAATTGGAATGAAATAGTACTAGTGAATTTCGATCAATGATCGAAATTTTTGTTTAGACGACACTTTATTGGATGATACACTATTTTAATTGAATATTCTAGGAACATTCCTAATGCATACACTTCAATCACATTGGTTGCTAAACTAATTCAATGACCACAATATCCCTATTTGACTCAAGTTGTACTTTTATAAAATATCCATCGTTTGTCTTTTGAAATAGGTCAGGTCACGTGATAGAAAGAAACGACCTTCACCTCCCAAAAGCATGTAATTAGTTCCTTTGTTTAAATAATCACTATAACATTTGGCAAAATTAAGCTGATGAGTGCTTTAAAACAGTTAGACACTGGTGAATTAGGGTGGTGTGACGAGACGACTAAGTTGGTCAGAAATACGTAATATATTATTGACTCAATATATTCTCTTGTTAAGACATTTATATATGAACTACATGTAAACTATTCTGGTAATAATGGCTTATTATCTATGGCGGCATGATTCGTAATATGTTTCAGTAGTATCTTTGTTTTTTATCTTCCCACTTGTCTAGTTCGACAAGTATTTTCTAGTTTTGGTTTGAAAATCAACACGTAAGTGGAAATAGATCCAGGTGAAGAGTCCGAAATAGGATGAAACGTACGTCCTAGATTCCATTTTTAGCAACTATTTGACTGTTTAAATAATGCCTATTTAGTAAGGTTAAGGTTGTTCCTTTAGGTCGCAAGACCCTCCCTATTTTACCAGACAAATGATAAATACTATGGAAAAGCACAACTCCAGTCATTACAAATTAAAATAGTATTAGTATTTTAGTATTAATCCATATATTGGCTGTTTGAATCTTCTCGTCGATGTTTGGGTTTGCAATTGATCAGTTTCTTTTGGAATATGTGCATCCTGTGCGAATTGCTTCAATATTGCAGGTGCATTCAGCTGACGAATCCCAAATAGGACGAAACGCGCGTCATAGATTCAATTGTTAGCCACCATCCATCTCTGCTTGAGATAACAGTGTTTATTTGAAGTGATCGTATTTTTAGATTGTTAACTTTTGATTCCATTGTCGGAATTCATGTCATGAAAAAACTGGATATTGTTTAACTCGTTATACATGAAACAGTCGTTAATAACATTGTTTCTTTAAAACATGTGACATTAAACGAAATCCATTGTGATGTCAATCCAGTTATTGGTCATATTGTAAACTCAATTATTAATGACACTAACGACTGAAAAAGAATAAAATTGGCTGTTATCCAATATCTGACCAGTATTTATGATTTCTTCATCACATGATAATCACATGTTTTGCTGATGAAGTGATGTGTGAACAATATGCGAGATATTTAAATTATTAAATGGCGATCTCAACCATTCATGTCAACGATGAAATAGAGAAGCATTACAGACAAGCCCATATTGAGTTATTTAAATAATTTAGTTGTTAAAATGTTTTCTCCTTTAAAAAAATACACTGTCGAATTTGCGGATTGATAAATTACAGTATTCGTTATTTCACTAATTTAGTATGCCATATCAGTAAATTTCACTCTAAAAGTAGGAACATGATGTTATTTCATGAAATACTAAATTGGAAGAAAGCAATATTTCAGATTGTAGACCGATCTTAAAACAAACTTCTACATGGTAGTGATGTGATGAAATAGTTTGTCATGTTATTAAACTAATCAACAACAATCCGTCTACCACTGTTTACTGTATTTTTGTGTTTATATATATATATATATATATATATATATATATATATATAAATCGTTTTCATAGTACACAATTATAGCAGGTTTATCAAATGTAACTAATTAAATAGAGTTGAAACTTAAATAGTGATTAATAAGTTTATCGTATTACAGAAATGGTATGAACAACTATTTCATGTTGGACTAAATTCTTGTTTATTTTAATATTATTTACATCATTGAATCAAGTAGAAATTTAATATCAGAAGGGGTTTTTGTGGATATTATAGTAATTTCAGTAGTCGAGATCATGAGTAAATTGAAGCTAAACCATTATGGAAAACCTGTAAGCACTGGACAGCCGTTTCGTCTTATTTTGGGACTCTTCAACAATGTACATCCACGATCCCACTCGTGGTATTCCAACCGAGGATTTACCTGTCTCGAGCGCGAGTGCCTAACCTCTAAACCACTGAGCCAGTATCCAAGGGTGTTATTGGCTAATTTCAACCAATATACGAAATTGAGTGACACATTCACTATTGTCTTCAGCGAGTAGAAACAGATCCTCAATACTAGTGACTGGCTTCAAGAGGTATTTCCTGAAGTTCTAGTGATAAGCAGTGACCAGTGTAGTTCAACCGGGTTTGTTGTGAGTTAGTAACTCACTGAAGACAATGGTGGATGTACCACTCAACTCCGTGGATTAGTTGTAGTTAGACTTTAACACAATTGGAAGCCAGCCAGATCAGTGGTCTAAAGTTTAAGCGTTCGTGAGGCGGGATCGTGAGTGCGCACTGCTGAGGAGTCCCGCAATAGGACGAAACGGCTGTCCAGTGCTTACAGGTTTTCCATAATGGTCTAGCTTCAATTGACTCATGAACTCAACTATTGGAATAACAAATTTAATATTAATCAGAATATAATTTTCATTTAGATTTTAGAATCAGAAAATGAGTAAATATTTTGTGAAAACTGTAATCTTTTAGAAGTTTATTTATTATTAGTTTTATGGCAAAACATTTATTCATCTTAACAAAAGTTCATGAGACGGTTTATTCAGTTAGAATAATTCACTGGATATACTTTGATAACAAAATATAAGCCTTTCAGTTAGTTGAAAAGTTAAGAAGGCAATTTAATTATCTTGACAGTGTACTTTTAGATGTGACTACTAGGTTCATTTATCATACTCCTTAATAGTGAGTACAAGATAAATAAATTCCATTTACTGATAGGAGTTAAAATTAATTTCCTTAAAATATCATGTCTTGTTGACTAGTTTCACCTGAAAAAAATGCATTCAAGTACAGACTTAAAAATAAATATTTTTCTTACTGTAAACCTGATTTTGGATCCCTCATAGCCCGAGTTGAATAGTTTGTATGCGCTCCTGAACCATTCCAGTTCCCAGGCATTGGTTTCGGGTCTAGTGAAACAATCACTCCAAAGTCTTCAGCTACACGATGTAATATAAATCTAGCCATCCATAAATGATCACCGGCTGAGACACCTTCACATGGTCCAACTTGAAATTCCCACTATGAAATTTAAGCACATGAGATATAAAGTTCACTGTAAAATTTGTTTGGTTTTCAAACTATGGATAATTACTTAGAAGTCATGATACAAATAGAAGTAATAGTCAGGTATCCGTTTAAATAGCTTATTCGCCAAAACTGACTTATCATTTTAGTATCACAAATCACCAACGGGTAAGTACAAACAAAGCCACTGAAAAATAGATAGCTATCATAACTCCGTGGCTTAATGAACAAGGATTTAGCATTTAAAGTGGTGTTTGTAGTGAACAAATTCCAATAGCAACATTTTTTGGGAGGCAGTCACACAGAATTATTACTTCACAAACACGATGAAACCTTTTTTTCATGTTTCAATTAGTAGACATTTCTTAAAGGATTATCAGTTGCAAATTCGATAAAAATTAACTACATTGATAGCTTCAGTGTATAATGTAATAACACGAATAGCTACTTATAATTTATTGTAATGAAAACTTGTATTTAAGGTCACTTTATACGGGTACATTAAAGATAACCATTAGATTTTAATAACTCTTAAAGTCTGGATTTGTATAAAACACTTGATACCACTCTTCTGTAAGCTACCGAATCAGTGTTAAACACTGCTTTCTGGAACTTCCCCATTGATGATGAAACTGAAGGTAAGTTATAAGTCGAAACATCGAAAACAAGTAGAATAGTTCAACCGTATTAGTTATTTTCATCAAGGTATAACTTGATTACACTTTTGTAAATGAATAATTTTCTTTATCCAACTGGTGGTGCTGTCACTTACTTTTTAGCCTTGACATCACGAACAAATAATGTTTCAAAAAAAAATAAATTTATCAAATAAAAATAGTTATGGGTCCATTATTCTTGTACTTTGTAATCCTGATATTATTATATGTTAACGAATCACGGAAATTATGGAGTACTTAGTGGCTATTTTATCGTGGTTTGCAATTCGGTAACAGTGAACACTCATAATAACATATACATACATGTATACAATATATATAATGAAATATACAATTGAATTTAGAATATTTAAGTCTTTCATTGAATATATAACATGTTTAATTTTAACTAATTTACAACTTAATCTTATCTACATCATTAGGTTACACTTAGTTTACTCGAACTTGAGAAAAAAATCCATTTTAAAGTTAGTCATTATTGGGTACACAATTACGATTGATCAATGTGTCATGTGGAGATAATTGCCATTTGAAAATGATTTTTATAATGAACTGATGTTATGTACTCACTTCCTATTGATTTTTAATAGTTTTTCATCTGTTAACCTATGATAAAATGTATTTTTGTAAATTTCTTAACTAAATAATCTAATTTGCTGTTTATCACTTAAACCAGTTTTATTTATTGAGAAACCCAAACAACTAGGATCGCATAATGACTATTATATGCCTTATATCCCAAAACGTTTTGAACTATAAAATTTAAACATTACCTGAGTATTTATATTCATTTTAACACTAATCTATAGCTTTTCTGTGACTTCCTTTAGGGTGAATTTATTAATGTTATAGGACATTGTATGATGTACAGTCGATCTAATCAAGAATTAAGATATCTAACTACTGATAATATTGAATAATGTCAGGTCTACAAGAGGAATCTTAAACTTAAACAAGTGGCTTATGACTAGTGTCTGTCTATAAATAAAAAAATATCATTTAACGGAATACATCTTTTGTTCAAATAATAATAATAATAACATTTATTACATAAATTCTTACTTGTGATGGCATAACTTCTGCATTGCTACCACAAATTTTAACTCCTGCATACATGCATGCTCTGTATAAAGCTTCTGGTATATCACGACCAAGTGCTTTACCAGCTCCAACAGAACAATAATAAGGTCCTAAGAAATTTCGGAGGGATAATTCATACAATGTGAAAGAAATTTGTAAACTAGCGTACATGGTTAAACATATATTGAGAGCTCATTCATCTTATATTCAGTTGAGTGCAAACAACTAGTGGGTCACAGTTAACTCTTAGGATTTAATGAGCAACAGAGAGAAGAATACTTCAATTAGATCACAACTGTCATTAGTTTTTAGAAAAATAAATATATCTGAAACAAAGCAAGAGATAGTCTGAATTTCGCCACAATATTGAGATATTTCTACTTAGGTGAGCACAAAACATTTGATTATATGGATTTCACTATTCTCTACCTCAAACATAAATGATGTAACAGAATATTGAACAATGGATCAACTTACTAGTTTTAACATTTTTCATCAAAGAAAAATTGTCATAGAGATATTTTTTTTAACTGGTAGCTCTGAATTATCATATAATCATACCTTTGAAAGTTTAGCTTAACTACGATTACTGTAATGCTATTGATAGTTTTACTAGAAAATAAGTAAGGAACTGAAAGTTTCCTAAATTTTACATATGTAAATCATGACACTTCAAATTCAACAACATAAGCATTAATAACTGAAATACTAACAAAACAGTAAGCAATCGATCAGATTTTATTAACATTGCTAATATAAACAAACATTAAAGGAGTAGATAAGAACAAATTGATGTGTCAAAATTAGTACTAAACTACTGGAATTTATCGACTTTCTTATCTACAAACAATATTGAATGTTTCAATCAGAAGTCATATATTTTGAGGGACTATCTATGAGTAATAAATTCAATAAAGTAGTTAATTAATTTATTTAATGAATGATATTTTGTGAAATACGATGTTTCATTATTAGATCTCAATTTATAAATCAACCTTCTGAAGATTTAACTGTCAATAGAGACATAATCTGTCAACCAACACCGAGGTCAGAATTTTCGATACAAACGTCAAGACAGTTCTACTGAATGGGGCAGAAACTTGGAGAACTACGAAAGCCATCATCCAGAAGACACAAGCGTTTATTAACATTTGCTTGCGCAAAATACTTCGGATCCGTTGGTCAGACACCATCAACAACAACCTATTGTGGGAGAAAACAAACCAGATCCCAGAGGAGGAAGAAATCAGGAAGAAGCGCTGGAAGTGGATAGAACACATATTGAGGAAAGCACCCAACTGCGTCACAAGGCAAGCTCTCACCTGGAACCCTCAAGATCAAAGGAGAAGAAGAAGACCAAAGAACACATTACACCGAGAAACGGAGACAGACATGATAAGAATGAACAACAATTGGATAGAACTAGAAAGGAAGGCCCAGAATAGAGTGGGTTGGAGAATGCTGATCGGTGGCCTGTTCTCCATTGGGAGTAACAGGCATAAGTAAACAAGTAAGAGGTATAATCATTTATAAGTCAAGTTGAATGGATATACTTTGTCGAGAAACAGTATAGTTATGTTTCCAAACGTTCTCCCAAGCGATATGAACTCAATAAATAAACTTGAATAATTTATAAAGAATGACCACAATAAGGCGGAGATAACTGGGGGAAGAAGGGAACTTTTATTGATCTAACTAAGTCAAGTAATTAGCATTGAAGCACAGCTCTGTTATGAGTCTTTAAAGTGAGCATGAAAACCATTGAAGTAATATTTAACTCAGTAAAGTTACTATTTATTTTTATCAAAAATTGATCAAGAATTGTTTCAAGTATTGAAGTAATAAGCACTTGAACTATTTCCTATTGATTATGTTTTTTATCATTATCTCGGATTTTTCACAACCCTCAGGATCGATGCTGAAATGAAGTAATTAATTTGTCAAATAATAGTTTCTCATATATTTCAATGAGTTATTAATCAGTTATTTTCTCAATTGAATTAAGATCCAGTTGAATAATACTGTTAGCTGTAGCTTGCTACTGTAAGCCTCAACATTTGGTTTTGCTTATTAATTTGCATATTAGGCTGGTTTATTCAGATATTTTGATTCATGTTGTCAGTACATTATTATGTATCCATATAGCCTTTACCATTTTTCAACTGATGATGCTCAGATGAAATTTAATCATCTAACATCTTACAGCAATGTTACTGTACAGCTTTAGATCCGAGTTGCAATATGAAAAGACTATTTTAATTAGGTGATAGTGATGACGTTAACTGTCAAATAGACAGCATAACTTTCACTAGAAGAGTATAAACTCATACCATATCGAATGTCTAAGACAATTTACCCAGTTCAACTATTTTAATGCAGTCGTAAACAGATTAAATTAGGAAATAGTTTTGACAAAAAGTGGAAACTTATGAGTTAACTTACCTTGAGGTGGAGGAAAACCATTTTTAGGCCATTGTAATGGATAACCATCGATGTCTAATAGAGCATATTCTTGTTCAATACCGAACCATGGTTGGTGAGATTTTGCTTTCTCCATGACAAGATTACAAAGATAACGATGATTTGAAACTAAAAAAAGTGGAATGTAAAAAGAAGTGAAAGACACAGAGAAAAGGTGAAGGTTCATCAGTTGGATGAAGTTTCTTTAACCAGTAGCAAATAATTTTCAAGAGTTTTTTTCCTCGAATAAATGAAATAAGTTTACTATCTTGCAAGACATACAGAAATAAGAATTTTTCCTTATAAAAGTTGAAATCATCAAATTATCAATTTGGATCACTGAAGCGGTCAATCTTTGAATTACGCAGTATACACTTAAGCTGACTATGATTATGGTAATCTAATCAGAACAGTAGTACAGTTTTTCATCACAAATTTTTTTACTACCTACCTACCTAAATAGTATTAATATGATAGCAATATCGGTAGTGACTAGTTTCCTAATTAATGCAAGCAAGTTAAAAATTGAAACAGTAGTCTGGTAATGTCATTGGATGACAATTGAACTAAATAATAAATTTTTTCGAAGTTGGGAACGTAAATCATTCGATTCTAATTCACAGAGACTGGAAGATTTAATTTTCTTGTAGAGTTTGTTTTGAGATCGATTGTGTTGACTATCGTGTGTGTATCATTTGAAAAATTCCACTCATAGATTTAGTATTAAAAGAATAGAGTGAATGGTGTACTGAGAAGCAATATTTCTTTGTTCTATTTATCTATTCGGAAAACGATAAACTAGGTTGAAATAACTTCCTTCCTTTCAGATAATTTATCATCAGACTCTCCAGTTATAAATTCAAATATAATAGTCATTTATGAATTAAAAAATATATTTTAAAACTTACAGCCTATGAATTTAAGATTGTTTGTAAAATAAATAAAATTGCTCATGTAGAAAAAACTAGTATGTACTGTTAACTTGAATAAATTATTACTTACTTACTTGCTCCTGTTACCTCTCATGGAGGAGCATAGGCCGCCCAACAGCACTCTCAATTCAACCCTGTCCTGGGCAATCATTTCCAGTTGCTATTTATCCTCTTCATGTCTGCTCCCAACTCACAACGCAATGCGTTCTTCGGCCTTCCTCTTTTCCGTTTCCCTTTAGAATTCCAAGTTAGCGATTGTCTCGTGATGCACTTTGGTGATTTCCGTAATGTATGACCTATCCACTTCCATCGTCTTTTCTTAATTTCCTCTTCAGATGAAAGCTGGTCGTTTTTCTATCATAGTAGGCTGTTGCTGATGGTGTCTGGCCAACAGACTTCAGTATCTTTCGTAGGCAACTGTTTACAAATATTTGTACTTTTTGATGATGGTTGTAGTTGTTCTCCGAATATCAGCTCTGTATGGTAGAACTGTCCTGACGTTCGGATTGAAGATTCTCACTTTGATATTGGTTGACAGTTATTTTGAGTTCCATATGTTCTTCAACTGTGGGAATGCGGCCCTTGCTTTACCAATCCTTGCATTTACGTCTGTATCCAATCTTCCTTGTTCATCGATGATGCTTCCCAGATAAGTGAATTTTTCAACGTGTTCCAGAGTCTCCATCAAGTGTGATTGTGTTGGTGTTCTTCGTGTCGTGTTTGAGGATCTTACTTTTCTCTTGTGTATGTTGAAGCCCAGTGCTGCAGAAGTTTATGCTACACTGGCTATCTTCGCCTGATTTTGTTTTTGTGTATGGGATAGAAGAACTGGGTGATCTGCGAGGTCCATATCGTCTAGTTGCGTCCAAGCTGTCTGTCGTATTCTGTGCTTCCCATCAGATGTGAAGGTCTTCATAATCCAGTCAACCACCTAAAGAAGGATAAAGGGGGAGAGTAGGTAGTCTTGTCTGACACCGGTCTTCATTTGGAGTGCATCTGTTTGGTATCCTCAATACACGAATTTGAGTGTAGTCCTCTCTTTGTTCTCACGTCTTTGATGTGAAGGTCTTCATAATTCAGTTAACCGCCAGAACAAAGAGAGAGTGCGAGAGTAGGCAGCCTTATCTGACCACGGTCCTTACTTGGAATGCGTCTGTCAGCTGTCTTCTATGCACCACTTTGCATTGTAGTCCATCGTATGAATTCTGGATGATGTTGACGATCTTCTCAGGTACGCCAAGGTGCCGAAGAAGTTTCTATAAGGTTCTTCTATCCACACTGTCAAACGCCTTCTCATAATCAATGGATATATTATTGGAAAGAATATTTTTCATTCACTTTATATATCTTTGTTTTAACAAAATCGGAATTTTAAGACAACTAAACAAGTTGGATCGTAATTTCTACTCTCAGTATGAACCGCTAAGAAAGAACATAATTTATTGGCCTAGATTAACCTTTTATAGGATACAGAATTATTCTGCCATTTATATAGATATATATAGAATGTTAGGATACAGAAATATGGTCTAGATCTATCGAACCAGTCATCTGTTGGTCTGATTTTCATCAACAATTATAGTCCTTTTCTTCCTAAAATTAGAAGTCAGTAACTGACATCCTTAAATGATAAAAGTCAAAATCACGATGATGTATATACATTCAATTTGTTTTATACCTTTCTTTAATTTCTAGACACTTTATTATCTAACATCCGTTTCCTTTTTGTTTGTTCATGCTTTTCCTACGCCTATTTCCCTTGCTCTTCTTCATTTGAAAGTTGTTTTATTTAAAAACCTACATTGTTGTACTATTCGGCTTTCCCTACTTTCCGTCTGTCTATCTATCTATCATCTATATAGTAAAATATAACTACGTTCGACACTACTGATGGAAACATATGTAATAAAGTGTTAATGTACTTTAAAATGAGATTTATGGGATTTAGAAAAAGTTGTGATTATGACAGAATTCTAGTTGCTGAATTTTAAGGCCTAATTTTTTTAAACATTTCAACCGTTATTTTTACACAAGTATGTTCTTTTGAAAATATGTTTACCCATAGATCAGCTGGAAAAACAGGGAGTATGAAACAATTGTCTATGCCTACTTATAATGGATGGATTGTAGTTAAAAGTGGAATACAGGACTCGTCAGCTGAATGCGATTACGTCTCAGCGTTAATGTTTGTATTGAGACTGGAACCTTGTGCCTTATGCCCACGAATTTCAACAACGGAATAACTCAAGCCTTCACTAATAACGTCTATTTCTGGTCTGAGACTGTCTGGCAGTGCACATTCATACTCTTGAAAGCAGCCACAGTCAGGATCTCCAAATCTTGCGAGGAAAGGATATTCCATTTCGACAATCGGAATCCATTTTAAAACAACTCAGTCTCCTAATTTGGGGGAAAATCTGATCAGTATTAGGTAAATTTTCGGGAAGATGCAATAGAAAATTTCGGGATTTTCCCAAAGTCATTTGAAAATTCATAGTTTTCCACAAAGTCCGAGGAACTATTGGAGATCTAACATTTCTCCCAAAATCTGGAGATCGGGTAATCACATATATAGATTATTTAGTATAAAACTGATGAATTAATAATAATAATAACTTGATTCCCAACTGTAATTCACATTTTTTATGAACATCATGAATCTCATTCATTACTAGAAAATTGAGCTTTCAGTTTAACTTAAAAAAAACAAAGGCAATCGATTCGTTCCTTATGATTTATTCCATTGTAAACTTAGTAGCATTCTGGTTATTAATCCATATACTCAAATACCTTGACTTTACCTCTTGTCATCTGATACCAAAGTGAATTCGTCGTATGATTTGTAAATACAGTGCTGAATAGTAAAGGTTTAAATCTTCGCGTTCAAACATTTTCAACATTTTCTCTCATATACACTTGCAACTAACACATTTATCATGGCACTATTAATATTTTTCATTAGAGTATTGGCTTCTTAATTGAAGAAATGAGCTTTTAAACTCTACTTAATTCGGTCTGGATAAGTGGCTAGTAACAATAACTCATACAAAGTGACTTAATCCTGAATACATAAATATATACATGGCAAATAAATTATATTAAATTAATTACTATCATTACTAATATTGGTATACACTGTGTAACCTATTGGGACATTTGTACATCATCTCACATTATAACGTATTATAGTAATAAAAAGATGAGAAAAATATTCGTAGTACAACAATAGGAAGCTATCAAGCAAAATTCTTACCATGTGGTTTCTTATCGTAATTATAAGTTTCACATAAAACTAATTTATTTTTACCACCACGAAATGGATCACGGAACATTGCACAAGGTTTTAAATAAACATCAGAGTTGGAACCTTCAGCTTGACCCGTACTACTCCCATCGAAATTCCACATTGGACAGTCTGGTTTTTTTAATTAAAGAGAAATATATAGAATAAGAGATAAGAACAAACAAACAATGAATTCATTCGAATTGATTTCTTCACACAAGTATTACACTGACAAAACGAATAAAATCCGATCTTAAAGAATTTTAAAACAATGTAACTAGACTGTTGAAAACTGAGTTCATTCACAAGTTCATTCATTAATTCTGTTTAGTCTATAAAAAACAGTTAGCTTAAAAACACATATTTAAGTAACAAAATACGTTATAGGTAATAAGTTAGTCATCAAAGCTTAGTGATGATTAATATAATCACAATAACCCATAATGTCATTGAACAAGAAAAAGAGGATTCAGCGAAGAAAATTCTTTTTTAGACCAAATCATTTACTCAATCTACAGAGTCAAAGGGATTGGATCGAAGGAGTGGGTCAAATCAATATTTTATGCACTGCTGAGATATTGGCAATCCATGAACTCAAGCCTGAACTTTGCGTACAGAAACGATTTGTTCAAACTCCTATCCTTCCTTGGCCCTAATTCTTTTATTAGGTATGGTTCTGGGCTTTTTTCTCTGTTTGATTTTCTGCACTTTTATTTGATTATTATTGAATTTTTTTAAATTACTGTTTTGCATTTTAAACTCTAATCATTTATTATTATTATTATTACCTTATAAAAGTTTTCTTGATTATTATTCAGTCTATTATTATGATCTTTATGTTTGGCATTTTTCTTCATATCTGTCAAGTGGACTATTATCTAAGCCATAGAAATTATTTCCCTCCATACCCTTGATTAGTACGTAACCTCATGTGTTATTTAGCCTTTTCTATCTTTAGTCTTTTCTATCTTCCTATAGACAAATACTTTCCATATAACTATATATACGAATGTATAGTTTAAGTAAATGATTTCGTCGAAAAGAAAATTTTCTTCGCTGAATTCTCTTTTTCTTATTTGATGATTAATAGTTGGATGAAATTTCGAAATATCTACGTTGCCTAGTTAAATTAGTATATTGTTTTCATGAATATATCGGTTCATGTTAAATTATTTGTTTAGAAAGATTCAATCATAAGTTTAATTAATTTCATAATTCTAAAATGTTTTGTACTGATACACTATACACTATAGTTACATATATGATAAGGAATTTAGGTAATTAGAAAAAAAAATCCAAGATATCAAGTCATACCACCACATCGGGTGATCTAAAATCAGTAAAGTGTCACACTATTTTATAGGTAATTTGAGTAAATGTTATTAAATTTCAGACAATTTTCATAAGAATAATTTGGAATTTTATGCCTTAACGTCAACCCAAGGAAACATTGTAAACTCTGTCATCAATTCTATTCAGTAAGGCATGTAAACATGTGGGAATAATATTTTGGTTTTACATTTTCTACAGTAACATCACATTGCACTTTAGAAAAGAGGTCAGTATTCATTTGTATTAATTGAAGTTGTTCTAACTCTGAACAAAAGAATAGAAGAAAAAAACCTAATCATTCAACATCAGTAGTAATAATAATGGTGATGTAACCAAGTGTAGTTTCGTACACCCAACTTTAAGCTACAGTACATGTAAGATAACTGGTTATACTACTCAGTTCATTAGACCTAAGTACCTTCAATTACACTTTTGTTCAACGACATAAATGTTCAGAAACGAATAACGATAATACAATGGTGGAACATATATATTTTACAAAAATTATGTTATCATTCTAACGAATATAAGTTCATGTATCGATCAGTTTTCTTTAACTCATCATGGTTCAACTATCTTGAATTACGATTATTAGAATTGCTTTATGGTTCAGAGAGGTAAATGAAACTTTCGACGGGAATAATGTTATAGATATGGCATCTTAGCTTTTAATCAAAAACTACTGAACCTTTCCTTGAAAGTTAAGGTTTCTAATTTCATCTTTATACTAATTTTATTGACAACAAACTATTTTAGTACATGAACAATCAATTGATAATAAGAGATGTTACATAACATCAACTTAATATATATGCAACTAACTAAAACATCAATTTGTACGTTCAATTTATTAATTAACTCAGTTTGATCAGAATTAATTATTTTTCCAGTGAGTGAATATTTGTAAATTTAAGATGTATGCTGGTTTATACTACGCAATATAATAGTACACATTTGGCATATTTACCAAAATGAGGAATAACCGAATATTATAAGACTTTTAATAGTTATATGTATTTTTCAGTATATCTATTATAGATTATTCTTATAAACTTGTATTTTAATCCATTACTTGTTAAACTTCAATAAATTCAATGATCTGTCAAATATATACTATTTGTTTATAAAAGACTAGGCTAGTTGTAACGGTTAATATGTTATTTCTTACCTAGTTTACTGTTAAATATATAACTATAAAGCAGACATGGAAAAGAAAAACCGTCATTGAGGTCTTAAGTTAAAACACATTGTATTTGTTTATAATCTATGTTGAAATAAACGTAAACTGATGACAAATGGTTTTTTAGCAATTTATGAGGATTAGAGGGAAAGAAAGTTGTTTTTACTTATATAACAATGAAGTTGTAGAAGAGATATTTTTGATCTATAGTTTCATTTCAAAACGACGTTTAATGAGGTTAATAAATACCCAATTAAATGATTTATTTCAACAAAGTTTTCTTTTCAAAGATTTATTCACAAAAACAGGAGTTGGAATCTTCGAAAATAAATTGTCAACGTACCTTCTGGAACTTGTGGTTCTTCTTGTAAAGTCATCGTTTTGCAGCGTAAATTTTCTCCACTTCCGTCTATCCATACGTACATAACTTGAATTTTGTCATCAGGTTGAGGTAAATCATAATATTTAGCAAGTAGTGTTTTACTGTCGTAAGGTGAACGTGATGTTAACGGCATTATCAAACCGTATAAATTCGTAGTATTTAATTGATTATAATAATAAACCAGGCCAATTTATATAGCTTTATATAGAAAAAAAACATGGACGAAAACTACGCAGTACGTGATTGGTCGTAAATTGAGATTCAATTTATTCGGAAATTTCAAGGTCACATCGATAACTGGTTGAATTCAGGGTCGTTATTCAGTCATACATTTCATCTCTGAAACAGGAAAACAATAGTCAGGACTGCTTGCCTATTTATATGAACTTAAATGACATTACCTACAAAATAATTAAAACCATACCATCAATAAGATAAACAAATTTAAATATCTTGAATATTTTAGATCGAACCATTATCAAATCTTAAATGATATTTAACTTTAAAAATTAGTGATTTTCACAAGATCATGGGTCGATTGATGTTAGACACTAGCACCGTTCGACGCCAGCTCAGTGGTTCAGAGGTTAAGCGTTCTTACGAGAGACCAAAGGCCCTGGGTCCGAGTCTCGTGTGTGAGATCTTTGATGCATACTTTCGAGGAGTCTCATACTAGGATGAAACATTCGTCCAGTGCTCCCAGGTATTCAGTGGAGATCCAATTTAAATCGACTCATGAATTCAACTATTAAAATTTTCAACATAATTCAATCATCTAATGACGGTTCTTTCACCTTCTAAAATGGAAATATAACGGTCAGTATGAACCAACAGATTAAACCTCAGTCTCTGAACTATATTCACAGTCAGTGCGATCTTCGCCAAACTGTACTTTTACCTATTATGTGCGGTGACATAATCTATTTCATTGTAATTATTGACTCAAATTGCCGAGAGTGGGGAAAGTCTGCTCTCCCTCTCAAAATGCTCTCACACGGCCACGCGTATATAGCCTCTGACAGGGAAGTCCTACTCACTGCCTTCTCGTGGCGGGGGTTTTGCTTACGAAAATGAGAGGACGAAAAGCGAAAGCGAATGTCCGGCGCTTTAACCGGATCCCAAATCAATGGTGCACATGGGATCCAGTATCCTGAAGAAACAAATGGCGTATGAACCAATTTCTTGGTCACCGGCTACCATGGGATTGCATCTCCTTACGATGCCCCACTGCCTTGTGGATTAGATATTTAGGTCGAAGGCTCGGGGTGTGGCCCCCTAAGAAAACCACCTGCTTCGGTTTGGGCACCCGGGCAGTACCACAGCCCTCTCACAAATCAAATGAGATCTGTGTGGCGCATATGTATTTGGCGCCCCTTTGTACCAATATCTATGTGTTAAAATAAATAAATAAATTTTCGTATAAATATTCATGTATATTAGTCATCTTGAAGAGAGCAAATATAAACATTTAAGGAGAAGGGCCTGAATAATCTTTATTTTATTTGATCCTTGTCAACTGCTTACAGCCTGTCATATTTAAACACTTTCATGTAAGCAATTCAAACCTATTTTGTAATTATGCTGCTAGTGGTTGACAAGAACCAAACAAAATAAAATTAGTTCATGCTATTCTGATGAAATATTTGTTGTTACTCTCGGTAAGATTTCATTAATTTCGTAGATTCTCATCAGGTGCTTACAACCTAGAGAAAATAGTAATAATTATTTATAACAAATGTACATAATTTATGTCATAATTATGAAGATTAGTAGAATAATTACAAGTATGAAAAAAATATGAAGTGAGTGATTAATTATACATTACTAAATGTGAAAATTCTAGAAGAAAAGTTTTAAAACACGCGGAAACATGTTTCTAAAGAATGACTATTGATGACAAAGCTACGTAATAACCATAAAACAGTAAGATGAATGCAACTAACGAAGAGTCAGAAATGAAAAATAAATGTTAATGTTGTCGTTATTCTACTAATCTTCATTAATATGATGTGAATCATGTACATCAATTATAAATAATAATCATTATTTCTATTAGGTTGTACGAACCTGACTAGAATCTACAAAACTAGTGAATCAACTAATTCTAGATTCGAAGTTCTAAACAGAAATAAAGAATATTGAATCACTATTGTCAAAAAACCTGATATTCATTATCTGAGTTGATATGATCCGTTGAATTTGAAAGGTTAGTCAGTCATAAGAATCAAACAGTGTAAAGTATGTATTCTTTTCAGATGCTCTCAGAAACACTGAATGAATACACGCTGACTTAATGTTTCTGTGTATTTCAATGATTTACTTTTGGGCTTTCTTCCTAATTTTGTTTAACCAATCTATAAATTCCTGATGTCGATTTTTTTATCAATTAACGCTAGTCCTTATATTACATTGTAGCCAGTCACGATCTTATGTCATCAGTACGGTTGTACAAAGAATTCAAGGAATGACGTTAGGTGTTCCGTAAACAAACCGAAATTTGTACATAATATCTAATAATAGTAATGTTAATACTTTTTTCAGGATATTTAGCATAAAACAATGAGAACGCTAGTTTTTCTTTTCAATTTTGCAGGTAACTTTTCATCCCACAAACATGGGAAAAACCAATAACAATTTGATTTCAATAATACCACTTTCCAAAACTGGTATACATTCAACAGACCAATTCTATATGCAATAGAAAATTATTATTCATGACCTTACCCAATATTATGTGTTTAGTACAATATAGCAACTCACGCGCATTTGAGTTTGTCGACATTTAATTTGGTTAAGCCCTTTTGTTAACATTTTTGACGGACAGTCATCCGTATAATAACAATTTATCTTATATCATCGTACCTTTATTATTGTTGCACTTGTATGAATATTTATGCTTGAGCGTTGCTTACTGCCTATGCATATATTCACTCTGCTAGCCTTACCTATTAGTCGCTTAATTGATTCGATGATTGATTCATTTCCCTATGTATATATGTACATTTTAATCCTGTTCATTGACTTGTTCCTTCGACTCACTCACTTGCCTGCTTGCTTTTCAGCACTACTCTTTCATGCTTGCTTAACGTACCTGTAATTTCGCTTATCCGTGCGTCGTAGTACAATAATAAACGTAATCAACACTTCGTATTCTCCATCTGATTTATAAACCGTTGGGGTATTATCTAGTGATGGTTATCAGGACGAACTGTATACAAAGTTTAAGGATTATATTGAATACTGACCACCACAAACTAATGTTGTATAAAGTATTTGGAAGAAAATAACTATTCATCACTTATAAAATTTCTTGACCAAAATCTTAACCATCCGTTTGATAATACTACAATCAATATCTCATTTCATTCTTATATTCACTTTTCTTTTTAAAATTTCTAATTATACTTTTAAACTATAAATTAAATAGTCTCCTCATAATTAAAATTTCATAGACAGTATCTTTTTTAACTTGATATTGTTTTACTTGAATCTTCCCATTGATGCTTAGGACTGCAGTTGATCAGTCTCATGTTGGCATATGTGCATCCTGTGCGGATGCCTCGATATTGCTCTAAATTACAAGTATTATAAGCAAAGATGGATAGTGGCTAGCAGTGGAATCCAGGACGCGCGTTCCGTCCTATTTGGAACTCGTCAGCTGGATGCACCTGCATCTCAGAGTTGATGTTCACTCTGGGACCGTTCGCTCCAAACGCCATCGCGTTATCCACTCACCTACTGAGCCCTGATAGCCACTTGCGCGTCCTGGATTCCACTGCTAGCCACTATCCATCGTTGCATAGTCTCTTTTTTTGTTTAATTGTTGCTATCCAACAATAAACCAATTACACATGATTTTTTTTATTTTTTAAAAAGAAGATTTTCATTTTTTAAAATGTTTTTCGAACTTGCATCTGATTAAATTTTCACTCAGTAACTATTAGTTTTTCTTTAGACAACTTTTCGGTAACAAAGAAAAAAGATTTTTTAAAATATTAAGTTATAATTCATTTTCTTTCAAGAAAAATACAGTATAGTTTATGTAGGTTAATATCACATGTTAAGGGTTGAACTAAGTAAATAAATAACTAAACATGTGATCATAATGTGAATAAAGTTTATTGTATTATTGAATTGAATAAAAAAAATGTAAATAATTTTTGTCTTCTTATCATTAATAACATTTAAGGAAAAATGGTTACCAAGACTTAAAATTAATAATTAAATTTAAAGAATATTAACCAAATAATTATTTCATAGTTGAATTCATGAGTTAATTGAAGCTAGACCATTATGGAAAACATGGAAACACTGGATGACCATTTCGTCCTATTGTGGGACTCCTTAGCAGTGTACATCCATGATCTCGCCTCGCCGGATTCGAGACCAGGACCCATCAGTCTCGCACGCGAACACATAACCTCTAGACCACTGAACTAAATGGCATCTAATAGTGTTAATGTCTAACTACTACAACTAGACGACGGAATTGAGTGGCACATCCACCATTGTCTTCACTGAGTCACTAACACAATACAGTCAGTCAGCTGCAACGTAGGACCAGGCACGTATATGCATCGGTCAAAGTTGCCATACCGCATCAGAACAGCAAGATGAACAACGGATTCAATGGTGGTAATATATAAAAGAAAGACTGCATATAAGGAGATATTACAGGAATAAAGATTTAGTAAGTACAAAGAAACAAATGAAACGACTTTATTCTCTTAGTTTAAGGGAAGACAGAGAGTGCATGCACGTACGCCATTGTGATCGATTCTGAGCCATGTCACCAAGAGTCTCCAATCATTAAATTACGATAGTCACACGTACCCTACCAAGTAGTCTGTATCTACCGACATGGCTCAGACTAGAAGTTGGTGAATTCAAGGACTGATGACACGTTTTGGTTTGCCCCCCACCCAGCTTTCTTCCAGCCATCCCCAACACTAGTCAACATTGCGCGTCGTGGTAATCGGTGTTCAGGCATACGCAACACGTGGCCCAAAAACACCTCAGTCGGTGACGATTCACAACCTCATCAACTGATTTACCATCACTCTCTAATACCCTGTGTCTAACCTCACTATTACTTACCCGGTGATGCCAGCATATACGAGCAATATTTCTAAG